GCTTCAGCTTCCTGAGCTGCTGGGATTACAGGCGTGCGCCACCAACTGCTTATTGGCCAGCTCTCAATGTTGCACCCAAGCCCAGGGTTTCAGCCACATTAACGCAACAGCAGAAACCCTCTGGGTATCCGGCCTAGTTCTGGTTCTCAACTCCCTCTGCATGTGGCTTCCTCTCCAGTCCTTCAGAAAAGCAGAGTTCAAGGAGCACCTAATGAGAAAGCCGGCAGCCCCCCACTTCCCGTGTGGCACGCACTGCATTAAGGTACCTGTGCTGCAGTCCCTTCGGCAGAGGCGGAGATGATGGGGGGGAATGAAGAGAAGATCCCGCACCAAGTGACCAACCGATTCTCTCTCCACAGCCCCTCCTACTCTCCTGCTTCCCCTTCTGATCTGAGGCTGAAGATCACATTCCACGAAGATTTATCTGGCACCTACTAGGTGCTGAGTCCTTCTATGGGTCTGCCATACAATTCTGCAGACGTGAAATCAGACGTTGCTTTGCACATGCTGTTCCTCTGCCTTTTCACAGGGTGACAGCTTAATCATCACTTCACCAGGAAAGTGTCTGCCCAGCAAGAATGACCTCATAGCACCCATGACAATTTTAACCTGTGTGTTTGACACCTGTCTCCCCAGCTGGACTCAGCTCCCTGGGGCAGTTCTCACATACACAGGCCCTCAATCTTTTTTCTGAATGAAGCAAGAGGCTTATAGGATAACAGTACAACCTAGTGTGTGTTGAGCATGTACTATGTGCCAGGTGCCTTGACGAGCTCCAAGTAGACATCTGGTCATGACAGCCCCGTGACAGCTGCACTATTAGTGCTCCCATTTTGCAGACAAAAGACATTACATCATGCACCCCCCCCCATTTTTAAAGAACAGGAATTAGGGCTGGGGATGTGGCTCAAGCCGTAGCGCGCTCGCCTGGCATGTGTGCAGCCCAGGTTCGATCCTCAGCACAAAATAAAAAAAAAGACGTTGTGTCCGTCGAGAACTAAAAAAAAATAAATATTAAAAATTCTCTCTCCTCTCTCTCCCCCCTCTCTCACTCTCTCTTTAAAAATAAATAAATAAATAAAAAATAAACAATACGAGCATTGTTTAATAAAAAAAAAAAAAAAGAACAGGAATTAGAACCTGGTAAGCAACTTGCACAAGGCCACAGGACTAATAACAGCAGGGATCTGAACTATATCTTTGAATTATCTCTTCAGGTCACCAAAACTGCTCCCTGCATTATCTCCCCATCTCCCACCTGTTCCCGTGCTCCCAGTGACCATTTCTGACCCTTCCCTAAATCCTTATCCTCCTATCCTAAGGCCCCCCAATTCAGAAGTCTTCCTCAACTCCTGCCTCACCCTATCAGCTCCCATATCCCTCCTGCAGCTGTGCTTCAGAGTACTCTGCAAAGACCCCAACTAGAGCACATCAACCCACAGCTCTCAGCCGCACAAGGAGGGATGGCATCGATGTCCCCACACCCTGGTGGGACTAGCATGTCATTGCATCAACAGGCAAACCCCAGCAAAGCGGAGGCAATGAGCTCACAGATGAGACCCAGCAGGTAAACCCAGTGTCCCTGCTCCACTTCCAGCACTGTCCCTTGCTCCCCTCTGCCTGTATTTACAGAGCTGCTTGGATGATGAGCCACGGCTTCCAAGGCACTCCTCTGTGGCAGATCTATGGCATGAGAGCTCAGTGAGGATCCACGAGTCCTGCTCGTGGAGACTTTCAGTCCTTTAAATAAAACAAGCTCCAGCTCAGTGAAGCCTGCTCAGTCAGCAAAAGAGGCCAGCTGCCATGGCTCCAGAGGTTCCCCCTGGGTACACAAGCCTTCAGACCAGAAGCCGCTGGGAGAAGAGAAATGAAGACCAGCAGCAACTAAAAGGATGCAGGGACCAGAGGGAAAGCACTCTGGAGGAAAGCAGGTCTTCTTGGAGTTATCTGCAGGAAGGAAGGACGATGTGGGATGATGATACTGCCAGGTGACACAAGGGTGAACATGTCACTTCCTTTTGGAAACTTTCAAGACTCCTTGGCGACCACATCAGGATCAGGTTCAAATTCCTTAGCATGGTCTTCAAAGGTTTCCCCCAAGACCCATCACAGCCACATCTAGGAGGAGAGGCATTTCAAGCCTCCACAGCTGCCTAGGGTCCCCCTCTACCTAAAATCTCTCCCTTCCTCCATGGGTCCAGCGCCCCTTGCCCTTCAGAGCATAGAAGACTTGCTGCACATCCTAGGACAGTGGGAAGAGCAAGGCTCTGAAGTCCGATCAGCCTGGCCTCCATGCAGAAGGTGACCGCCCCTCTCACTGGTGGCGCAAGGATGAAACACAATGATTCAGGAAAGCACTTTGAACTGTGCCTGGCACACAGTAAGTGCTCAATAAACGAGCTGTTGTTCCTATTGTCCTTTGGGCCCCTTTAGGGCCCTCTGTTTCCACCACAAGTAGAGCACTGTCTTGCACATACTGGTTACATGCTGGGCTCCCTCAGTCAACCACAGCTTTTTCTAGGGCACCACCCATGATTCTGGCCTTTCTTCCCCAAGGTCTGGCACAGTGCAGGGCACACAGTAAGTACTCAGAAAGTGCTTGCTGCCACAAGAGCCTCAGCCGAAGGTCCTAGAGCAGACCCCACACAGAGCTCCCCCAGCCCATCTGCCTCCCTGAACTCACACACCAAATCCCCAGTCTATCCGCTGCTACTTGGTTTCAAAACAAAGGGCTGAACCCTGCCTTGCCAAGGCTGTTTCTACTCCAGGGAATGCATGGAGAGCCATGAGCACAGCAGGGACTAGAAATAGCACTGAGCCCCTCGCAGGGAGAGGGCTGGGCAGGCCAGCCAGCAGCCAAACCTCCACAGAGAGTGGAGAGACAGAGAGTGGGAGAAAAGCCCTCCAGGCAGGAGCCCAGGCTCCCAGAACTCAGCAGACACAAAGTGAACTAGGACAACAAGGTCACTCATCTGGCCATATGTGGAAGCTCTTCTACCCCAGTGGGGACATTTAGAAAGGACTCCTTGTAAAATCCATCACCACCATTAGAGCAACTTATAACACATTCAAAACCCCCCAAACTGCAAAAAGCACCCCAGATTGCCTATGGTTCTTGGAGAGAATTTACAGTGCATTTACCTACTGACCATTGGGGTCACCTGGATTGGGGTCACTCTCTATTTCCATCTCTTTAGCAGATTGTGAGCCACCCTAGGGCAGGCCCTTAGAACCCATACATCTTCAGATCTCGGTGCTCATCTTCAGCATGGTATCTGGCACATACCAGATGTTCAATAAGTTAGAAGGCAACAAGATCTGGAAGCAAGGGAGGTCCTGGCTCAAGGATGACTCCATTCAGGCCTCAATGCATGATGGACAAGTGAGCCATGAATGCCTCTGGGCCTCAGTTTTCCTCATCCATAAATAGGGATAACAACAGTTCTTAACTCATACAACTGCTGTGAGAATTAACTGTGAAAGTCTACATGGGAAGCACAAAGGAATATCAGAGGGCTCAACTGTCCCTTTGTGCCACATTCCCCTCCCCCAGCACTAAACCCACCTCTGCACTCCTATTCCTTTGTTTTGTGTTTTTCACATTGTGATTACGTGTTTCCAAGTCTGATACATTCACCCACCTGAAAATTCCTTGATGTCCAGGGCCTCAAGTGGGCACAGGCTTGGTTTCGAGGGCTCTCCCCACAGTCCCAACTTTAACATGCACAACACTCTCAACAAGATACTTGGATGTGCAGAACCCAAGGGCCCACCAAGCATATTGACAAGGGACATGGAAAGGGACGTTACATGCATAACCTGTCAAGAAAGTCACACCTCTGAGACCTTCACCTCCTCTGCAGGTGCAGGTGAGCTTGTTTGCCAGGCTGACTCTGCAACACACCAGCCTCCAGGGCACAGATTGCTACTTCTTTCCTTACATAAAACACCCAGCAGTCAAATAAATAATACATGGCTTTCACCTCACACACAGGTATCAGGCATGCAAACACCTGCTTTGCCCAGGATGCCCTGGAAGGGAGGGAGGGGTGAAATGTCTGGCCTCAAACAACCCCTCCCCCAGAAGACATGGACTGGATATCTGCCCACTCCCAGCCTCACTCCCTTGCCATGGACTGGAGTCACCTGGCACTGATGCAAGTAGATCCAAGCAAGGGGCCCAAGGGAAGAAATGCACAACCCACAGGATGATACCCAAATCAGCCTCCAGGGTCCCTTTGCAGGCAGACAGACTTGGAGCTCCAGGTTCCCCTCCAAATACGCCGACCAGTGAATGGGGCTTGTGTACCATCCATGCACGCTGCCCTAAAGGCCTCCCCAGCCAAGTACCCTCCGCAGGGTCACCGCCACCGCACAGGGCTCAGATGCCTCCCCCATCACTCGGCAGTGCCAGGCGCCAGCACACCCACCCGAGCGCACACGATCCACTTGCAAAGGGCCTGCGTCCACCGCCCCTCTCGCCGGCCACCCCCACGGGCAGGTCCGATTACACTCCAGACGCGGCCCCCG